GGGTTCTGGGTCTGGGTGGCTGGGTTCTGGGTCTGGGTGGCTGGGTTTTGGGTCCGGGTGGCTGGGTTGTGGGTCCGGGTGGCTGGGTTCTGACGTGTCTGCTTCCGGCAGGAGGACCAGGAGCAGCTGGGGGAGTTCCAGACCCACCTGGAGGGCCTGAAGCGGCGGGCCCGGACCGTGGTCCAGCTGAGGCCCCGCGACCCGGCCAGCGCCCTGAGGGGCCGGCAGCCCGTCCAGGCCGTCTGCGACTTCAAGCAGCAGGAGGTAACCCCCCCCACACTTGGTCTGGCCCGACTCGGATCGGAGGTCAGTTCTTGGGTACGAGTCCAGCCCAGGTGTCAATCCGGTTCTGGTTCGAGCCCGGTTTTGATGTGGGGTCTGAGACCGTCTTGTGTCTGAGTCTCTCTCAGATCTCAGTCCAGGTTGGACCGGATCGGCCCCGGCCCGGCACTGTCCCGGTCCTTGCCTGGGCCCTGCTCTGGTCCTGGTCCTAGCCTTGGCCTGGCTCTGGCTCTGCTCCCGGTCCTGGTCCTAGCCTTGGCCCGGGTCTGGTCCTGGTCCCGGTCCTGTCCAAGTCCTGGTCCTGGTCCTGGCCACGGCCCGGCTCTGGTCCTGGTCCGTCCCGGTTCCAACCTGGTTCTGTCGCCGGTCCTGACCCAGTCCCTGCTCCCCCTCCAGATCACGGTCCACAGAGGGGACGAGTGCTGGTTGCTGAGCAACACGGCGCCCAGCTGGCGGGTCCAGAGCGCCGGCGGCGGCGAGGCGGCGGTGCCCTCCGTCTGCTTCCTGGTTCCGCCGCCCAATAAGGACGCGGTGAACGGCGTGGCGGGGTAGGTGGGCGTGGCTAGGTATATGGGCGTGGCCCCGGCCCGGCGGCGGCGTGCCCTGACCTGCCGTTTATGTTTATGCATTTGGCTTTTATCCAAAGCGACTTACAGAGTAGACACAATATTACATTTCTCATCACTATGACGATAAGCTATATAGAGGAAAAACACTGATCAGAGTCAGTGGTGATAGCAAAGAGGTAGAGGGGACCACAGAAGGAGCTGTGGGGGGGTAGAGGTACGGGTTAGGGTTAGGATAGGAGATGCTCTTTGAAGAGGTGGGTCTTAAAGGGTTTCTTGAAGACAGACAGGGACTCTGCTGTTCTTGTGGCGCTTGGTCGGTCGTTAAGGAAACCGGTTGCCGTGTGTCCTCAGGCTGGACGGGAACCTGCAGAGGATCCAGAACCTCTGGCAGAAGCTGACGCTGGACCTGAGGAGCCTGCTGTCCCACCAGCTCCTCATGAGGGACGTCCACACCATCAGCGGCTGGAGTGTCGCCACGGTAACGCCCTCCGGCTCCGCCCACGCCGCCTCGCTGCCTCATTTACCTGCTTATTTACTTGATTCTATTTCCTTCCCTTCTTCATTTCCTTATTTTTTCCTTATTTCCTTCCTTCCTTCATTTCCTTCCTTCCTTCCTTCTTTATTTCCTTCCTTTCTTCCTTATTTCCTTCCTTTTTTCCTTATTTCCTTACTTCATTACTTCCTCACTTATGTCCTTTCTTGCTTTATTCCATTCTAACTTAATGCATTTCTTGCCTCCTTTCCTTTTTGCTTCCTTCCTTGTTTCCTTTTCTTCCTTATTTCCTTGCTTCCTTGCTTCCTTACTTCCTTGCATATGTCCTTACTTCCTTTCTTGCTTCCTTTCCTTTTACTTCCTTCTTTGTTTCTTTATTTCTTTGCTTCCTTACTTCCTTTCTTGCTTCCTTTCCTTTTTGGCGTTCGTTGTCATCCGAGGCTTCGGCTGCTTTTTGGCCCGGCTCTCGTCTCTCCTTTGTGTCCTGACCTCTCTCATCCCGTCTGCAGTTTAAGAGCTTCCGGGTGGAGGAGCACCGGTTGGCCCTGCGGAGCCTGGAGCAGCACTACCAGGACTTCCTGAGAGACAGCCAGGACTCGCAGAGCTTTGGGGCCGAGGACCGGCTGCAGGTGGAGTCCAGCTACCAGCGGGCCAGCCAGCACTACCAGGCCATGGCCAGCTCTACCGAGCGAGGTGGGTCCCAAAGGGGGGGTCTCGAGTTGATTTCCAGAAATAAAATAAAAATTTTAAATGATAAAAATGGCATATGTTATCCATGATTGTAACAAGATAAAACTAGTGGCTAAATTTAAATAAAGCAAATCATCAGCAGCCGGTATTTTTTATTTATTTTTTATATTATTATAAAATTTGTATTTATTTAATTTTAATTTATTATTATTTATAACTTATATTTAATCTATAACTTATTTTTTACTTTTTTTATTATAATCATTTTCATTTATTTCTATTTTTATTTTTCATTTAATATAATAATATTTTTGTTTTTTACATTTTATTTATTTTATGTTGTTTTCTATTTTATTACTCGTTTCTTGAATCAAAAGGCTGGGCCCAGCTTCTTGGTTTCCTCTGAGTAAAACGAGGTGTTTTTTCTCCAGGAGAGCAGGACGAGTCTGTGTGTAAGAGCTTCCTGACCCAGCTGAGGGACATCCGTCTGAGGCTGGAGGGCTGCGAGACCCGAACGGTGACCCGTCTGCGGCAGCCGGTGGACAAGGAGCCGCTGAAGGCCTGCGCCCTGAAGACGGCCGAGCAGATGGTGAGGACCCAAAACAGGGTTTAACATTCAGCCACAACTCCAGTTCCACTCTTAGCTGAGCTTGAGAGCGATATGCCAGAAGAGGATTTAATATTAAGTGTTTAACATTCAACTAGAACATAGATTACACAGGTAGCATCCATTGATGCTTCATGCTATCAAGAAGTAAGAAACTTTAGAGCTTTAGGACCAGAGATACTCTGGTCCTTCTATCTAGCTATCTGGCTATCTATCTATCCATCCATCTAGGTATGTAGCTAGCTAGCTATCCATCTAGCTTTCTAGGTATCTAGATAAATAGCTAGATACCTAGATGGATAGATGGCTATCTATCTTGATATCTGGTTATCCATCTAGCTATCCATCTAGCTTTCTAGGTATCTAGATAAATAGCTAGATACCTAGATGGATAGATGGCTATCTATCTTGATATCTGGTTATCTATCTAGCTATCTATCTAGCTATCCATCTAGCTTTCTAGACCAGAGCTACCCTGGGAAGAGCTGGGTCTTGGGGTTTTTTTTTAAGTATAAGAGGTCTTCTGAGGTCGTTCCACCAGCGTGGAGCCGCAGATGAGAGGAGTCCAGATTGACCTGCGCACTCATGCTGCTGTCTCTCTGTCACAGAAAGTCCAGTCGGAGCTGGAGGGCCTGAAGAAAGACCTGAGCTCCATCGCCGAGCAGACGGAGGAGGTCCTGGCGTCCCCCCAGCTGTCGGGCTCAGCCCCGGCGCTGCGCTCCGAGCTGGACCTCACTCTGAAGAAGATGGACCACGTCTACGGCCTCTCCTCAGTCTACCTGGACAAGTAAGCCCCCTTCTTACCATTTAAAACAGGATTCCAATTCAAAGAAACCTACAAACTGAGCCAAATTTTGGGAAGAAAAAAAACATCAAATTGGAAGGGAGGTGAACCATCTAGACTGTAGATAGCTTGCTAGCTAGTCCTGGACCAAGAGTTCAGGTCCTTTTCTGACTGCTAAAGCTGTCGTTTTCCAGGCTGAAGACCATCGACGTGGTGATCCGAAACACCAAAGACGCCGAGGAGGCGCTGCAGGGCTACGAGGACCGTCTGCGCGGCGTCAGCAAGGTGCCGGCGGACGAGGAGGAGCTGGAGGCTCGCCGCAGCCAGCTGCAGGTCAGTACCGGTCCTCCGAGCTCTGGCCGGCCCGGTTCTGCTCTGTTTCCCCCCTAAAACGCCAGAAAAATGAGCTCCAGATCGATTACAGATGGGCTTGGGGAGCTGTCCGTGGTGCTGAACAAACAGCTGAACCGCGTTGTTTCAGGATGTTTTTGGAGGTTTAGCTGCTGATAACCACTTAACCTAAAGAGATTTCATAAATCTTACTCTTGAGATGGATTTCTGGGTCAATTCTGGTCTTGTTTGATATGTTATATGACCTCCTTCCCTTCGGGGGGGCAAAAAAAGCGCTCTGATCCAATATGGCCGCTTTAAAGATGGCGGCTTTGTTCCCCTCGGGGGGGTCTGGTCCCTGAGGGCTCTGCCCCCCATTCTGCTTTAAAAATCCCAGGCAGACCCGAAAATCAAAGATTTCTTAAGTCATATCCAGGGGAAAATGAAAATGATGGAACAGAGGGATTTAGAAGATGCCAGAAAACTGGTTCTGATTGGTGAAGGACCTGGTCCCTGAAGGCTCTGCCTCCAGGTCCACTTAAGAAACTTTATATAATTATTATGGCTTATTAAAATATAAAATATCCCTTTTTTGGAGCACAGAACTAGATATGTGCTACACCCTTTACACCAGATTAGACAGTTTTTTTGCTGTTTATCTGTTTTGCTCTGTTTCTTTTTGCCATGTTAATTGCCTTTAAGGTCATTGTCTCTCTTCAAGAAACTCTTGAAGACCCATCTCTTCAAAGAGCATCTCCTATCCTAATCCTAACCTGTACCTCTACCCCCCCCCCACAACTCCTTCTGTGGTCCCCTCTACCTCTATCTCTATCTCACCACTGACTCTGATCAGTGTTTCTCCTCTATATAGCTTATTGTCATAGTGATGAGAAATGTAATATTGTGTCTACTCTGTAAGTCTCTTTGGATAAAAGTGTCTGCCAAATGCATAAACATAAACACACATAAACATAATATTTAAGGTAATAATAGTAAAATAAACACTCTTTTACGCGTTCCAGGCGATGCTGGCCGAGGCGGCGGCTGACCAGGCGGCCTTCGACCGGCTGCAGGACGAGCTGCAGAGGGCTTCGTCCGTCACGGAGCGGATGGCGCGGCTGCACGGCGAGCGCGACGCGGAGCTGGAGCACCACCGGCGGCTGGCGTCCGGCCTGCTGGAGCGCTGGCGGGCGGTCCGGGCGCAGCTGGACCTGCGGCTGCGAGAGCTGGAGCTGCTGGGCCGCGCCATGGCGCGCTACCGCGAGCGTCACGGCCGGCTGCAGAGCTGGCTGGGAGACGCACGGCGGCGCCAGGAGCAGATCCAGGCGGCGCCCATCGGCCACGGCCGGGCTCTGAGGGAGCAGCTGGCCGAGGAGAAGGTAAAGGCCGCCCAACGAGTGGTTTATTTATTTTATTAGGAACTACCCCGAGGGGCCAACGGCCAGCATCGTTATTTATTTATTTATTTATTTTTAATTTATTTATTTTAATGTATTACTTTTTTTATTTATTCATTATTCATTATTTTTTTATATTAATTGTATTTTATTTATTTATTTATTTAGTTTTTTTATTTGTTTTTGCTAGAGACAGGTACAGACAAGCACACATTACCTTTTTACAGTCACGTGAATCAGAAAAAACATCTTGTGTGCACTTATCAACTGTCCAGTTTTAAAAAAAAATAACCATAAAAACAAGGCAAAACATGAAATTGAATTAATTAAATGTGTATAAATATATCAATAAATGTGTATAAATGAATGTATAATAAATGTGCACTTTAGGTGACCTTTATTTTTATTTTTTAATCGTCTTTACAGAAACTCCTGGAGGAGATCGAGAAAAACAAGGACGACGTGGAAAGCTGCCAGAAGGACGCCAAAGCGTACATCGACTCGGTGAAGGTACGAGCCGATCCTCTGAGTTGATGCGGGAGAAAGCTCAGTTCGGGGCTTGACTCGCTGGTTTTGCCTCTAACGCAGGACTACGAGGTCCTGATCCTGACCTACAAAGCCCTCCAGGACCCGGCGGCCTCGCCACTCAAAAAGCCCAAAGTGGAGTGTGCGTCTGATGACATCATCCAGGAAGTGAGTGGGAGCCCCCCTCGTTTGAATGCCGATTACCTCCAATTTATTAATATATTTCTATGGTTTTATTACCAATTTATGATTTAAAAAATATATATATATATTTTTAATATTTCCTTTTAGAAGGATCTTATTATGCATTTGTAATTATTTCCATTTGGAATAAAAATAATTTTTCTGTTTTTTTTAACCTCCAAAGAGCCTCTGAGCAGCAGCTTTTTCTGCGTCTTCTCTCGTTTTCAGTCCAGTTTTTGTGTTTTTTCAGTCATTGAACTCTGAGTCATTCAGGCAGAAAAAGGCCCCTTAACTCAAGGGATGAGCCAGCGTTGTCCAATCAGCAGAGCAGCAGAAAAACCCAGTCTGACAGGAAACGTGATTTGAGGATTCCCAAAGAGCTGCTTGTTCTGATCAGGTTCTGGTCCTGATGCTGGTCCAGGTCCTGATGCAAGTTCAGGCTCTGGTCCTGATGCTGGTCCTGGTTCTGGTTCTGACTGTGTCCTCTCCTTCCAGTACGTCTCTCTGAGGACCGGCTACAGTGAGCTGATGACGCTCAGCAGCCAGTTCATCCGGTTCATCAGCAGCTGGCAGAGCCGCCTGGAGGAGGACCAGGTAAGCGGGTCACCCCCCCCCCCCCCCCCCCCCCCCCCC